GAAGTAGGAGGTAATATGTATAATCTGCTGGGATTTAAGTGGATTGAGTTCGGGAAGATATTACCAAAATTTAAGGTGGGATAACTCGAAAGAAGAGATCGGCTTTTAAAAGAAGTCTTTCTTTTGTAAATTGGCATATATGTTTGTGCTACGCAAAAGTAGGAGAAAATGTATTCTGCCCGAACATTGGTGGAATAAGTCTAGAAGGAAGGTAAAATATAATTGGTTTGAACATAGGTAGCTAAGTACCAAGCTATAGCAGGTTTTTAAATATGGGTATTACTATATATGGAGCTTGTTGGCAACATCAGTGCGATAACCATACTTGGGCACTTTTATAGCAGCTGGGTATTTGCCTAATCTGTAAAGTTAGATAGTTAGGTTTGCAAAGTTTGTAAATTGCTAAAGTTTCTAATAAATTAGTGTGAGGTTATCAAAGGAAAATATATATATATATATAGTAAATTTTGACTTGCAAATATATAGCTTGATAGTATTTATATTTTTACTTCTAATAACAAAAGATATAAAATATATTAAGTCTGTGGCATGATTTTTACAGATTTCCAATACAAACTATATTTACTTCAAGATCTTTAGACAGTATCTTCAATAAATATAACTTTAAAAAGAAATTCTTATACTTATAATAAAGCTTTAGAAATACTTGTAAGATATATTAAAAAAATATAGTTGAGTATAAGACTAATTTAAAAAATCTAAAACAAAATATTAAACCAATACAAGTAAAAGAAAAACAATTTAACTAATTTCTGAATTTACCAAAGATCAGTTAGTAAGCAAGAATCTGCAAGTTGTTAAAGATAGTTAAGAGGTTTTCTGGAAATTGATTAATAAACTTAAAGCAAAATTAAATAATCTATAGCCAAATTATATATATTATTTACAGAAACAATACAGTTAACAACTGCTAGCTATCAATGAATATTTTATTATTACCAATTAGGAATTGACAAAATGAATAAGGTTGCTGCACAAGTTAATTGTAATACAGCTATTAAAATGAGAGTAAAACATAATAAACTTGATTTAATATTTATAAAAGTAGCAAAAAAAAAATAAAAAAATGATAACCAAACAAAAACAATAGATATAGAAAAAATAAACAGTAATTTTATATATACTTCAGAATTATATAATATGAAAGTTAATAAATAGATCAAGTCTCAAACTTAGCATTATTGTCTAAAACTAATCCACCTTTTAAAACCAATCTGTCTTTGAAACCATCTCACTTTCTGAAACTAACACATCTTCTGCATCCAAGTTTCAAAAATCATATACAATACATAAAACTAAACCTGAAGAAGAAAACATTCTGAACTAATTTGAAAAATATAAAACCTCTACTTTTTTGCCTGGAGAGTTTGTTGATAAAATAGTAGAAAAGCTAGCATCATATAATTATTAGACATCAAAATGAATTCAGGATTGGTGGTATAACTGATATAAAAGATCAAAAAAAGTCATTTTAGATTCATAAATTATGTAAATATTAAACCAAAAAATATAATAAAAAAATAATTACTCTGAAAATATTTAAATTTTGTAATATATGATTTTTATTAAAAGAAAAAAAAAAGAAAATCTTATTAGCAAAAATCGAAATTTATATACTATAAAACAGTTTTTCTTAATTTTTGGCATAATGTTTCTAATGTAACAACTTTTAGAAGATGCATTTTGCTAAAAGTTCTCATTTGTGTGCATATAACAGGCTATTTTTCACATTAAGATCTTGAAAACTTCAAAAGAATCATGCGAAAGAAGGCAAAATAATTACCTATCTTTAAAGGGGTCGCACATTACCGGGTGCTGTTAGTTTTTCATATACTTTATACCGTTCGATTCGTGAAGCCCTGGCAACTTATTTGTCTTATAACTAAGATATTAGAAGAAAATTTAAAACGTGATTCGTCGATTTGTGTAATTTATGAAAATTCATATAGTAAAAAATTAGGTGGATCGACTGATATTTCAAGATGTACTGTACGTACGTACAATACCTAACCTTTGGAGAGCAACCAATTACACCAGTTACACCAATAGATTGGTGAAATGGTGAAATTATTTCACCACCTAATTTAATTTCACCAGCATCACTAATTTCAACATACTGTACCTCCTCGAAACGAATAAAAAATATTTCACGCCTATTTATATATGCGAGATTTGATTGGATCTTATCGGCTGCTATGTAATAAATTGTACGGAATAATACCCTACAAAAATACCGAGATAAATATTATATATCATGTGATCTCGCGTGAGTTACGAAATGACTTCTACGATAAATAGTTATGTAAACTATTATACCTGGGTTTAACCCGGAGCTACCAGAGTATAACACACTAATAAACAGCGTTATTAAACTTTATTTAATTGTAACAAAAAATGAATTCGATTGAAAAATACAAGAATTAATGACAAACATTATCGCCAATTTATTTTAATGCCATATATATATATGTATATCTGATATATATAAATAATATTTCTATCTCTAATTTGGTTAACGTCTATACCGATTTACTATAATAACAATTTTTTTTGCATACTTATTCAATGATTTATATAAATTTATAATAAACCATTTTACAAAAATGGTAACCTTCCAATGAATCTCATATTTAATAATCATCCATCCAATGAATAACGTAAACATTATCATAATTAAAACTTTGAAAAAATAATTCCAATTCTGTCTCTTCAACGTTCGTACTATCTCACGAGAATAATATCTTGCTCTATTCTTTGTTTTAAATCCAGGTTTTCTTACAACTTGAAAAACTTCATATTCATCAATATCATATTCTGATGAAGTCGTATAAGGGAAAAATTTTGAAGCATCAGGATAAGTCATGGATTTCTGACTATTATAGATTGAACCAGAATCTTTAATAATCAAATCTCCCGAGTAACCCCATCCAGGACCATATTTTCTATCATAATAAATTGCATATTGTGGTCGTTCGACTCTAGCTATTTTGAAATCTAAGTCATTAAAAGAAAATAAAAAACTTGAAGAAGTCTTCCACCAACTACCACCACTTGTACTATTATTATTAGGACTACTAGCAGAATTTTCAGAAAGCTGAGGATCTGGAGACCAAAATAAAGGATTATATCCACCAATTAATTGATTAGTTGAAGAAAGTTTTGATACCATGATAGTTGCACCTTTGTTATCGCATAAGGTATGAAAAGTTGTAGGATCAAAGCCATCCCTAGTAGCTCTCAATAATAGCTTAAAGTTATAAGGATTTGTTGTTCTATCGTAATAATTATCATCATTATCTATCCAACTTGCCAAAGCACCAATATGTTGATGGTCCATCAAACTCGAATCAAAAATTGGACCCTTTCGTGGAAGAATTTCAAGAGAAGTTGGCTTATTACCAGAATCCAAATGATAACTTAAAATCTCTTCATAAAGAGTTTGAGGTAAAAGTTTTTTAAAAGGACGAACTTTATGTAAGAAATCACTAGAAGAAATGTGTATCCATCTAATAAGTGGAATTAAATCATTTAATGATTCTCTTAATGCAATAAAATTTTTATCAGTCCATTGTAACAAATTTTTTGCAGGATTTCTTTCATCAATTTTAATTGATAAAGAATTTTGAGCGATTCCCCATTTAAGTATGTTTAGCCAAATATCAATTTCTTCCATTTCTAATTGTTCGCAATTTAAGAGTCGTAATAGAAGAGATTTATCAAGTGATAAATAATCGGACGAACCAAAAATGATATGAGGGTTTTCACAAATTGCTTGTAGACAATAATCTCTTAAGAAAGCGCATATATCATAATGGAATACGGATTGAACGAACCGGATAGGATTTCTAATTAAAAGTTCGGATTGATTATCGATTAGATATTGTTTTATTACTTCTACAATTTTTTGAAGGCCTAGTTCGTCAGCAGCCACGATAATTTTTATTAAGTCAGTGCCATCTTGTTGTACTAAGTCTATTGTTCCGGAGTATAAATATCTGATAAATTTTAAGAAAAAAATTTGTTAGGATAGTTTTTTTTTTTTTAAGAATTCAAGAAATGAAATGACGAAAAACAAATTCTCACAGTAAGATTTCCTTAAAAGTTCTTGGAGAAATATTTGGCTTGCGAAATACAAAAATATCTCCTTGTTTTTTAGCCCATTTACTTGACAGTGCAGTTTGAAAATATGGACACCTTGCTGCTAGCATTACTGAATGTGTTCTAAATTCTTTAACATTTGGTTCCTCTCCGACTTGAATTACAACATCGTAACCAGCACCTGTATTTAATAATTCAGCCATATCATCAGAAAGGTCTGTTAAAAATCTGTGCGATGGTGCCATATATGAGCGAATAAATTGAGAATTGCAAAAATTTTTCTATAAACATATGGTCGTGTGAACTAGAATTTAACAAACGCGAAATTGACGGGTGAATGAACCGACGAATTCTATTTTTTTTTGTTTGTGTAAAGCCTTGATTTAGTATGATCTACGTACCCTGTTGTAAAAACCAGATTTATCAGAAACTCAAACGTAGTGATATCAAATGGGTAGAAAACAAAAAACAACAAATCAAATTCTTACATCAAATTTAATCCCGACAGAAACACAAAAAATAGCTCGTGTTTTAGGTAGTCGTGGTAAAAATCTTCATGAAGTCCAATATTATGATGGTATTGTTACTTTATGCATCTTACCACCAAAATTTCGTAGTCTAGTTTGGGTGAAGCGTGGTATATATTTAGTTCGAATTGTCACTTTATTTTAATATTAAAAAGGCATCCCTTAAAGAAGTTTTTTTTTCTTTTGCCAGGAAGTTATGTTATTATAGAACCCTTAGAATCCGATAAAGTTAAAAAAATAGGTGGAGAAATTGTCCACGTATTGTTTCCAGAGCACGTAAAACATTTAAAATCAGAAGGAATATGGTCAGGAACAATTCATTTATAATTTTTGGTTTGAAATCACGGGGGATGTAATCAAATGACTATTAAATTAATTATATTATATCACTCATATTTTTTAAATGTAAAGGCCTAAAGAATTTGAAAATCAAGAGATTCCAAATCAAACCAGGTAAAAATACTATATATATATATATAATTTTTTTTATAATGAAATTCTTACATAAAACTACTGTTAAGGCTTTCCGGTGATGGCTCGGATGACCAAATTTTTGTGAATACAAATCGCATAAGAGGAACAGAAGACGATAATGATAATTCCTCAAGTGACGAAGAATGAAACTTGGGATAGTCAAGAATTATTAATTGCTTATCCGATTTTAAAATTTAACTAATATTTGTAAAAATAAGATAGATATGTTTTAAAAAATTATTCTAATACACGTTCTCGTAAATGTTTTAAGTGTCTAATAAAAAATTTGCATATATTCAAACGAACATTACATTCTCAAAAATTTTTTTTGTGCAGATCCTGATTATCTGATTATCTGATTATCTTCTAAGTAGTACAATATCCCAATGATGATATATTTAAAGCAATATAAATATGCATGAATATAAGTATAATACATCATGTCTTTTACCTCACCCCTTGATGATTCATTGCAAACTCTTCTAAACCAGTTAAACTCTGAATTTGACGAATGTATAAAACAAATAGTGCCAAATGGCTCAGATAATACTGAGAGATCTCGTTCTTCTCAAGATGAATCACAAGGTAAATTTTTAATAACATTTAATTAAATTGGACTAAAGATTCTAAATATTTATTTATTATAAAAAACAAAGCGAATAAAGTTCATCTTCTCAGATTTCTACAGATAGCTAAAAAATTGGAAACAGCCTTATCAAAGATTATTCAGTCAGAAAAACATCGGGAACAAATTGCTTTACAAGATGTAATTTTCATAATTTTATCATAATGTTAAATTTTAAATTATTAACAATCGTTTTTTTTTCAATTGTCATTGTTTAAAGGAAATTAATGGATTACAACAAAATATAGCACAGCAAAGAGAAGTTATTGAGAAATATACTGCTTTGGTTAGAAAGTGGTCAAAAGAATTTAGTGAATTAGAAGAAGAAAATAAATTACCTTTATAGAACTTTGTATTTCATCGGGAATATTATTTCAAAAAATGCAGATCACTGTAGAATTTTTTTTTATATCAGATCTGCAAAAATATTAAAATACAGATTTATTGTAAAATTCTGCGCAAATCTTAAAATTTTTATTTAATAATCGCTATCAATTTGAAGTTCTGCGCAGATATGAATATAACAAAAAAATTTCACATTTGATGAATATACGAATATTACACCTATCACATTATAAATAAGCAATGTGCTTACAAACATATCGATAGGTAGTTAAAAATTTTAGAGTAAACAAATTTATACTGTATCTTGAAAATATAACAGTTTCTTTGAAAAGTAAAAATGTATTTTAATTACACTACACCGCTCTGAAAAAAAAAAAGAAGAGTATCTGGATATCTTACCAAATTTATCCTGCACTTATATTTAGTGAATAAAGATATTATTAGTTGTAGGTAGATACAGTTATAATTGTAGTTTCGAAATCAACTTAATTTGATTCCAAATTCAATTAAACGTTAAAAAATGAACAAGCAAATTAAATTTTATTATCTTTTAAATAATAATAAAATATACTACCATTATATAATGTAAATACATTATTCTTTTTGCTTTTTTTTTAATCGTATTCGAAGATTTATTCTCTATTAATACTCCACATTCATATAATAAATTAGATCATTTCCACTTTTGGTTCATCCTTATAATTGAATTTCAGTTGGCAGTAGGCTTCATGTACATTAATAAATTTATTTTAAAAAATCTTCAAATTCTTGATATTTAAACTAGATATAGTAACTTAGGTTCGTTTATATTAGAGTTCTACTTTTGCAATATAAATGATATACCGTATTGATACTAAGATCAGTCTGTTAAATAAAGATTTTCTTCCAAGATGTTTACTGACAAAATCACTAGAAATTTGTTTCTAAATAAAGAATATTGATATTTTAGGTTGAGAAATAAAATAAAACACTAATCCTTAAAAGGCTCTCAAAAAAGAGGCTCCAAAAATTTTAGCATAACCCGATTCAATATAAGCTAGATCCGAAGCTATGAATGTTCTGTATCCATCTACAACACTAACACTTATTAGCTTAGTAATATACTAAGTTACGATAAACCTCCTTTAGAAGCTCTCTGAATTAATTATAATTAGTATAATATTTTATGTTAAGCTGGCTCAACATGAATCGAGTCGATTCAGCATGCCGAGTCGTGCCTATTCCTATTTAGAAATACAAGGGTTCAGACTTTTTAAGTATTTGAATATTTTATTACTTTTGTTCACATCTAAATAGTAAATCTATCTATATATTCAATATTATTTACATTCACATAATATTTAAAGAGTTAACGATACATTAGTGTTCTAAAAATAGTTTTCAGGTTTGGATAAGATTTAAGAGTGTCGGAATTAATATCTGACATGATTTTCTAAAAGTATATAAATCAGGTATGTATATATCTGGAAAGGAACCAACTTTTAAAAACAGATGTATGTATAATAATAATAAAGATGATTATTAAATTAGTTACTTAAAAATTACTATTATATAATACAATTCAACTTAGTCTTCACTTTACATATGAATTTGATATTACAAGCTACCAGCTATTTGTTCTATAACCTGTAACAAATTTCAGATAGTAAATATCTTAAAAAGTCTAAAAAAGTAAGTTCAAAATTGATTACTAACTGTATTTTCCAGTGGCAAAGGATCCTCGGCACATCTTCTAAATGCACTTGAAGCTAATTCTTGTAGCATTGTATTCAATATTCTATAACATTATAAATAAATAATTTAGTTTATTAATTACATCATTACATAGACCATTAATTAGTATATATACCTTTCATCTTCAATATATTTCCATAACTTAAGTCGTACAAATTCTGAATCCACTTGAATTTGTTGAAATATTTTATTTGTTATCGTTTGCATACGAACGGTCTCTATCCACGCCTAGAATCACAAAAAGATATGTATAGCTTAATAATAAATATCAGTAATTTTATGCGCTTATAAAGAAACTTAAAATACCTTTAATAATATTTTTATAACACCCATCATAATTCCCGGCTTTCCAATTTCAACAATTCCAAAAATCTCGATTCTATCAGAAAACAATTTGTCTATATGAGAAGTAAGATGTGTGAAGCTAGCAAAAAACGGGTTTGATGTTTTTGGACGATTCGAATTTATGGATGAATAGGAAGAATTTGAATGCGCATAAGCAGTATTTGAATTGTCTTGATTTGCTGCAGAATTTTGATCAGTAGATTGTAAGGAATTATTGTCTACATATATCAAAAAAAAAAAAAAAAAAAATTCTTTTTTAGAGTTTGCATTATATTAAAATATTATAAGATTCATTGCGCAATAACAACTTTCCATCACCTTGATCATCTAGATTATTTTCCTCCTCAGTCCCGTAGAGCATCACAACTTCTTTTTCAATGAGTGCCAATTCTGTAATAATGACATTCCATATTTTTGAAACATTTGTTGGTTGTGGTGCATCAGTTAAATTTGTAGTGCCTGATTTCATGATATAAAGGCCACGAACGTTCATAGAAATTCGATTTCCAACAATCTCCACGTATCTTTCTAAAATTCTCTATAAACAAATTAACAAATTGTAATTAATAAAGTATTCAAAATTTATTCGAGAGATTAAAAAGTTTTTATACCTGTGCAATATCCTTACATACTCCAACAATTTCTCTAACATCCTGTGTCAACTCCTTAGAAATAGCATGACGTTCTCCATATCCACCATAAACATCAACGGCAAATCTATTTTTATTATCTCGAGAAGTATATAGTCTATCAGAAAAAGATGTGTAAACTTGTGTAACTATAATTTCGCCGAAATCTAGTAACATGCGAGACATTATTAGAGAAATGATTGGTGGTGGTGGTTCTTGTGGATTTATTGGATATGGATTTATTGGAGAAACAAATTTCTAATGTCAAAAGCAATTATAACAATTAAAACAACTTTACAACAATGAAAAATAAATAAATAAAAATTATTTACGTATATATAATGAAAACCTACCATCATAGAATTTATTATAGAATGCCAAAATTCTCTAAATTCGGCTTGAATTTTTTTTAAAAACTTTTCAACATCATCTCTATTTTCAAACATTGGCACTTCAGTCTTCATGCATTCCTTTGAATTAAGAAATTATTTGAGCACTTGATGATCCAACACCTTCCCAAATATTGATTAATTCATTATAGAATACTCTTTTCAATCAAACCTCTATGATCCTTAGACAGTTTTTTGTTAAATATGTGGTCAACCAAGTTTCCGTGTCCAATACAAATGTTTGCACATATTTAAATCGTTGTTGTGATGATGAAAAAACTTTTGTTTTCTGTTTTTCAGAAAACTCTACAAATTTCTCTGTTAATAAAAAATTATTATTCAAATAATAAATAAAAGTGCCCAAATAATATTCAATTTACTGTATGAAGAAGAAAAAGCTAACCAATAAGTTCTTTTTCTGCATTTCCGAACAGTCTCTTTCCAATTCCTACCTCCCATGTACTGATTACTTCTTTGATACGTTCATCAAATTTGATGACACTACAAAGGCTTGCACAGGATAATGCAGCAAAGTTAAGTTTATTAAGTAATTTTACGTGGGTTTCTGGTTTAAAATCTACTATGTTTTCCTAAAAAAAATTTGATTATCATCGTAAGGTAACTCTTATTTAAAATAAAGATTCTCTAATTGACAAATTAAAAAGAAACATACTGGGAATTCTAATAGGCTATCCACAATCGTTAAATATTCTGATGTGATTGCTTCAATGAATTCTAAAAATTCTTTACGCACAAGTTCTTTTACCTAGAATTACCAAAATATCATCAAATGTGAATGATATATGATGTGAAGAATTATTCACAAACATTTTTTGTTTTAGACAGAGTTCTCAAATAAAAACGGGATTGTTTATAAAACGTACTTCTATATCCAAATTAGTAGAAACATATCGAATAAGATCATTATTTTTTGGAGACTTGGCGGGTGATTTTCCAGGCGACCTGGCATCTTTGCATTCTTTTGGTGATTGTAAAAAGAATCCATTAAAAGACTCAACAAACTTATTTAATTCCTTTAAAAACTTTTCATTTAGGTAGGAAAGTTCGATTATAGCCCTTTCATTTGAAGTTGTTAATTGGTAATCTTCAGAATATTTCAAAGGATAGTCTGCAGGGACATTTGACATTTCGTCAACTGTGGTTACCAAAAGTTTGGAAAGAAACGTTTCTTGGCTAGTGAAAAAAAAAAAGTAGATTATTATTAGAATATAGGATTTACCAAAGAAATAGTTACTATATTAATAGAGGAAATTACAGATCAAGATATTCTTTAGCGAGTTGTTGCGGAGGTTCTTTCAGTGAAATCAATAATATTATGCAATCTGTTATCTCCGAGCCAGTTGCCTAAAATTAAACCCAAATTCAATATAGATCAACAGAACGTGACGTAATATGACAATTGAAGTACTAACTTACATTTTCACTTGTCATATTTTCTCTAATTTTCTTGGAAACTTTATCAATAATCTCTTTGCATTCACTTTCAATTGAACCAAATACCGACAAACTTCTATAATGTTCTAAAAGACGAGATGTTTTCGCATAATATCTTACAGCCTGCGCATAAGACTCCTGATCTAGACATAACTTCAGTCTAGTAGGCAATTCAAAAATAAATTGAATCTTTGAGATAAATTGTATAAGGCATTAGTTTTGAACGTTCCAATATAAATTAAGATTCTCATAAAAAAGTTTACAGAAGTACCTTCTTTAATAAATCATGAACTCCTGTTAACTGACGAATTTTTTCTCGCTTCGGTCCCAAAGCATCATTCACCAATGACGTAACATTTGAGATGTTTGAAATACTCTTTGAAAGTTGATCCATTTCAGATTCCATGCTTTCAACATTACTTTTCATCTATTTGTTTATAAATAAATCTATAATTATGTCCATCCATTAAAACAATTTTCAACTTGATAATTTTAGTCACCTTTCTTATAGTATCAGTAGCACTAATGAACTTGTTATAATTTTCATATACTAATGTTTTCATATCACCATCAAGTTGTCTAATTTCTAGAAATAAATATTTGAAGACTTGAATTCGTATCAAGAAATAATGCTTCGTATTTAATCTATCATTATAAGCTACCTGTACTTAAATCATTGTCTCTTTGTATTAATTCGTTTAGATGCTTCTCATTTAATAGAACATTGCAATAATGTTCAGTCTCAAAGGCGGAATTATCTTGTTAATAAAATGATCTATTTTAATAAAAAAAATAAACATATAAAAGAGAATAAGTTAACACTAAAAACCAACCGATATCCAAAGGATCAACTTTTTTTCCTCCTGTACCTATTCCGTGACTCTTCGATCGACCTTTACGAGGTAACGTAAGCGTTATAGGCTTCACTGATTTGGAAGTTGAAGCAGAAGATTTAGAGGGTGAGGTCGACAATTGCTGTGGAGTTGTCATTATGTAACGAAAAAATTGAAAAAATTGGTATAGCGATAGATTTAGATAGTCTCGTAATTAAGTGATATAAAGAAGGGGTGACTACAAATGAGCATGTGTCCCCGGTCGATCAAAAAATTTATGATCATGTGGAAGTATGTTGACCGAGCTTCCTCTATATATAATAAAAAATATCAGATTTCATCATTTCTACATTGCTTCTTAAAAGGTGAAAATTTGAGGGTATTTATAAAATATTTTAAAATGTGACAAAGTAGCTATGGAGAAAAAATCTGTTCTATTATAGCCCAAGACACTTTTCATACTTTACTGGTATGTTAGTTAATGGGCATCAAAATAAAAAATATGATCCTATGTCCGGACGTACAATAGGCATGTCTGCAACACATGGGGTTCTTCAAAATTTCCTAAACGTTCTCAACCCGAGAAAATTCAAAAGACGGCGCATTAATTTATATAATGATATTGTAAACATATAATAATCTATATTCACATACGCAAGTCTATCCGAAAATTTATGAAACCTTTACAATTCGTATTTAAACTTATAATAAAAAATGGAAATGAAAATCAAGATCACAATACTGGTCAAGGTTCTGTAGTCCGGACAACAGGTTTACTGTCTCTCCAGCTTGGAAGGATTTAACAGGTCTACCTGGTGCTGGCATTTTTAAATATACAATGTACTCTCATCGAACATGCTTAATGATAAAGTCCAAAGCAAAAAAAATTAAAAGTATCTTAATATATATATATATATATATATATATTTACAGATTTGAACTATAAGGTTGTGTTTTTGTTTTTTTTTTAAAAAAAAAAAAGCGCTTAAAAAGATTCACGTCGATTTTAATCAAAGTGATACGACATGCACAGATGTTCGAACATGTATTTGAAAAGGAGGATTACTAACTTTGGACAAACCTTCGGAAGTAATTTTTCATCAGGCATAATTGTTTACTATTGAGAATCCAAAGTAAATTAGAAATATATAGCCGACGTGATTTAATTGAGGGTCGGATTCTTTGTACTCATTTTTCTGGTCATCTCGATCCACGATGAGAAATTTTTTCAAGTGGGCCATTAAAAATGGGTCAGATGGGTCAAAATCATGTTACTGCCTTTATATTATTCATAAAAACAAATTGATATTAGCATTTGGTTCATAATGTATTAAAGTTCTGCTAGTCATTCACAGGACCCAAAGTTCTCGATTTTTTACATCCGGACATCGCATGAGCTTGCCTAGAAATATGGGTTCTCGCTACGCTTCGGACAATTACTGCACACTAATATATTTATTTCATCGAGTTCACATGCTGCTACGCAACGCATAAGAATAGCGTCAATAATATTGTATACTTACTGTATATATTGTAATCAAACATTCTAATTGAATTTTGAAATATGAACTTTTACATATACCATCCTTTATTTCAATTGGCAAATTCTTAACCAAATGCATCATGTCTAGAGATGGGTTTCATGCGTGCGCATGATTCCTCAATCGTACGCATTAATGCGCATGATTCGGAATCATGCGCATTTTATCCCATCTAAATTTTATATAGGAAAATTTAACTTAGGCCAAAGTATATAATGCCAGGCAAAATTAAGGAATGCAGAAGTTTTAAAAATTCCGAAAAGAAAATGAATGGACATAAAGATTAGAAGGGCCGGGAAAAATTTTGGCAAATATCCGATATTTTCCGGAGGGAAAATATAAAATCAAAAAAATTATATCATGCGATATCATGCGCATTTTACATAACATGCGCATGTTATTATAAAATGCGCATTTTTCCCATCTCTAATCATGTCGTAAGCTTTCATCGAATTATCTACATCTACCCTAATGTCTATTATACATAAACCCTAAAATCTACACTAACATCTACTCTAGCACTAACATCCGAATATATGAAGTAACGTATTGTCGTCCAACCCAAAAATCTTGAACTTTGACTCATCAGGCCAAATTACCTTGGACCAGTCTTCATAGATTCAACTTTCATGTTTTACTGCGAATTCCAACTAACATTTTTTATGAATTTTACTTAGGTAGGGCTTTTTTTCTTTTAGGTTTCGAAAACTCCGTTGCACAACAATCGAGTTCCGCCGCAAGGTCCACCGGAAAAAAACAAAGAGTAAAAGAAGCATAACCAGTACGAAAAAGGAGACACCAAAATGGACGATACCAAAATATACCTTTCTTCTTCTGTAAAACCCATTCCTTCATGAGTATAAGGATATGTAACTATTTCTTCGAGAACCACTTCTTCTAGAACTGTTCCTTCTGGGACCGGTTCGTCGTCTGGAATAACAATGACTTCATATATAAGAAAGGGATCCTGAAATAAACGACTAGAAGAATAAAAAAAATAATAATAATAAATTAGAAAAATAAATAAATAAATAAGTTAAACAGATATACAAAGATGCTCACTTGTTTCCGCCACCACGTAAAACGTTTTTATTGTTTGACAAAAGTTCGTAATTGAAGATTTCTCTATAAACTATATTCTTTGTATAAGCGTTGGTGGTTCCGTCGTCAGATTCGTCAGTCCTTAATACTATCACATGAAGTTACTCTAGAAAGAGCTACATAGAGTTGACTAAAAACTCATGCTAAGAGTTTTCATGTTTGCAAAATAATTCGATTCTATATGGTGTAAGGGCGTTTAAACTCTATAAGAGTGTTTCAAACTCTATAAGGGTGTTTCAAACTCTATAAGAGTGTCCGACTCCTATTAGGCAGATAGTTCATCAATTCTTTTATTTTCGGTGTCGCGTGAAATTTGACACGTATACATACATGCATTATAGGGGGACGGAGGTAAATCACTGGTTATCATCCAATCAAATTATGGGAAATTTTAAAGCAAAGAACGTGAAAAATGTCAGGGGGACCTATTAAAGTGAAGTACCCTAAAGTTAAATAAACTTCTTTAGGCGTCTCCCTTTTTCGATGTTTTTGATGTCGGCCAGTAACTTATTATCGATTCGGCCATAAAAAGTCCCAAATAATCAGTCGATTTTTTTGGCCAGCATTAACTGATCGACATTGATTGGCCTAAATTAAACTCTAACCTTACCCTAACTCTTACCCTAACTTAGGCTGATAGTTTATGCGTATAAAATTCAACTTTCAGATTATCCAATATTTACTAGGAAAATTGGTAGCCAGGGACACGGAAATTTTTCGAAAGAAATTTTTTTATATGTAATTTTTTCAAATTTCGATACAATTTTTATCATGTGATCATAAAATGATTGGCTGTTAATTGTTTTAACATGTGATTTCTGCCAATTCTATTATAGTTTCGAAATAAATCGAAATTTTTATCTAAATCGATCGAAATTTTTACTTTTAATCGAAAGAATATTTCCGTGTCCCTGTGCGTAGCATTGTTAGATCCGGAGCATATCATATGATGATCATCTTATTACACAAACGCGTGAATTGCGTGTTTTTATTTTGAAATATCTTTCTTGTCTAAAATAGCTTTCGTCTTTTATTAGTAAATCTATCTAATGCTGTCGGAGATTTATTATCTGTCTCTTTTTGTCGCCTCTTGTTGGCCTTTCTCACTTCTTCAAGACGCATAATTTTCATCTACGAATAAACAAAAATCATTAGTTATTAAAATCCATTAACTATCATATACTAGTAATAATTTTTTTAGTAAATAAACAAACCCTTCGTTCGTCAATCACATTCTTTTGTTTCTTACGAAGATATCTTTTCAATGACGAATTTTTACCACGCGCCTTATTGCGAGGTTCCCACTTTCCTTCACCGGCACGCTCCTCTTCCTAAATGTTATTATGCATAAACATGTTATATAAGAATGCTTTTAGTTCACGGAAAACAATAACCCATCAAAAGAATCGTACCTCTTGTTCTTTTCGCTCTCTTTCTTGTATCTCTTTCGAGGTTCTATCAATGTTACCAATAAACATAGGGTCTAGTGCAATCATTTCAGGTTGAATCTATAAATGAACCGAAAGTTTTAAAAATTGTGTTAAAAATAGTTATTTAAAAAAAGACACATAATTAGGCAATTCATACCTTGTCTAATAAACTATGCACTTCCGCCTCCTGTCTCTGCTTTTTAGTTTGATATGGATTTGCCTCTAAACTGTCAAAATTAGGTTCTCCGGAGCCTGTATTACCATGTCAATACAATAAGTAATATATAACTTTAAAAATTACTATTTTGCATAAATAAAATCACATTACCAGGGATTAATATACTTGAAACACCATCAGAATGACCGAACCCAAGTGCATCTTCATATGGACAAAATTGTATATCTTGAATTTGTGTTCCTGGCTGCAAATGGTTCATATATGGTGATTTCTGTTTTATTCGAAAAGCATCTTTCCAAACCTTATTTTTTAAATTTTCAAAACATGAGCGTAAGAATAAATTGATAATAAAAGCTTTAACCAAAAAAACTTACAGTTATATGTGGACCCCATCCAACCCCTAGAAGTCCCAACTGAGATATAGATAGAGATGTGGCAGGAGTTCGAGTAAAATATTCTTGTAAAGGTTTATATGTTCGAATATCCCATAATTTAAGCCGACCATCAAGCCCAGATGTTGCCATATAACTGATTACAATAAAAAAGTTAGTGTGCTTGATGAAATTAAAAATAAGCAAAACCATATCACTTACTTTCCGGTATGGTCTACTGAAATAGCTTTTACAGGTCCCCTATGTGTAAGCATTTTGACTAACGGAGTAGACATGTTGGGTGACCACAATGTTACAGTACCTATTATAATAAAGTATATCAAAATTTTCAAAATACAAGATTTGCATTACTTTAATCATCATTTTAAATGTAATATAGATATAATAACTTCATAAACGATAGTTATCCTTACCATTCGTATGCCCTAAATTAATGATAGCATTCCAGGGATTTTGCGCTATAGTATCACACCCACCCATTTTTGTTCTCAATTCGGCTACCAATTTGCCATTTGAAGTATCCTGATATTTTAACCAACCAGCATTTCCCTAAACGAAATTATAAACTATTAGCTAAATTTGGAAATATCAAAGCGTTAATTAAAACGAAACTTTATTGGAAAGTTATTCACCACAGAAGCCAACAAGAAATGATAAGGTAAAAATTCAAGCTTATTCACTTCTATATGTTTTTTTAAACGATGTATTTCGAGACCATTGTTATCATATATAAAAACATATTTTTTCTGTGCTACAGCAAAGAAAAGTTCATTGTGAAGCCATCTATCGATTTAAAAAAAAAAAAAAAAATTGTGTAAGAAATGAAATCATAAGATCATATATAAGTATTTAACCAATACAAACTTCACGTCTCGTACAGTTTCCTTTACATGAATTTCACAGCCTGGTTTATCTTGCAGCCAATCTCGAGTTACTAAATGGCCTTTACGGCCTCCAATGACCATATGCCTTTTATTCGCAAAATAGTAAGAGATATATCAAATAATAGACTAATAAATGGAAAATATATACTATAAAAACATTTACCGTCCATTACGAGTATAATCCAGAGAATATGGACCAAAAGTAGTTAATTTAAGATCAAATATCTGTTTGCATTTAAATTATATAATACAATTAAATACCAAAAAACCTGTTGAAATGTCAATATTAGAAAACGAACCTTTTTAGCAGAATTCTCATCTAATTGCTCTTTTAATTTCTTTTGTGTTATATTAAATGTTTTTTCGATTCCTTCAGCTTCCAAATAACTAATTCAATAATAATTTTGTGAAAAAATTCGAATATCTAACCAATTATCTTTAAATTATAATAGCACACACATACCCTGGCTCCTCGATTAACAATAATTCATGACTCGCAGCTTTATGAGCTGCTTCTTGAGTATATTTTTCGACTCGTTCAAGAGTACCTTTTAACTTTCTGTTTTTGATTTTCTAAACAAAAAAAAAATCAAATAAAGTCAGTTTCGATCGTACATTATGCAACGAAACTATTTTTTTAATTTTTTCAACCTTTAATTGCTTAGGCCCTAATTTACCTCCGGTTGGCCTCACATATTTAGAAACTTTTGCTTCCAATATACTGTCTTTCTTCATTTTTATTTGACAAAAAATTTAATTAATGATAATCTTATCAAACCGGAATTATATATCAAATTTCAAATCTTTATTTGGGTATCAGCAAAAATTTGGATTTTGGCCGGCATTACGAAATTGGCTTTATAATTTAGTCATGTCACATTACTAATAATGATCGGTCTGTAAGGCTTTAATTATTTATTTATAGTATAACTATAGGTGAAATCATTTAATGGCTAAAATTAATTCAACCGTTGAAATTAATTCAATTGTTGAAATTAATTCAACTGTTGAAACTAAATCAACTGTCGAAATTAATTTAGTTGCCAAAATAAAAAATATTATTAATTGATGTATTTAAAGTAATTTTATGACATCTCATTTTAAGTTCATTATATTCGCATGAATTTAGTGAATAACTAGGCGTTTGAACTGCTTAAAGGAAGTTAGAATGTATGCTATATCGTATTGTATTATTATATATAGTGTAGTTTTAGTCTAATTTTCAAATTTTTATCTATTTCATATTATAATTTATAGCAAACCAAGTAGAGCTTTGTATTAGTGATGATAAGAAATTGTTTGGTGTTTATTTTGTAGTCTTTACACATTATTTACAGTCGTCCTCCCATACAATCACACAGTTGGGCACATAGTAAATTTTTTAAGAATATGCTTATAAAGGGGTTGTGCTTATATGGAGGTTTTTTTCTTATAAATTAAATTATAGTTTGGCCAGCATAGCAGAAACTCGTTCCCGGCACTTTCCGAACACATGTGTTACACAATTATTTATACAGACAATGAATTGCATTGTACTCT